TTTATTACTATCAATAGGTATCTTTTTTAAAAAAAATCTAAAGTCAAAGTATACATAAACTTGCATGAGCGAATGAAAAGTGGGAAAATGAAGGTTTGAAGATAGGAGAACATTCTGGAACAGATTAAGAATATGGGTCAAAGTTTCCATTTGTTAGAGCAAAGCTGAGGTTCCTTTCTTCATATGCCGCTTTACAGTCCACCCATGGCTATCTGTTGTGTGAGACAAAGTAAAGAATTAAATCAATCCTTTGGAGTCCCGTAATTAATCTTCTGATATTTCTTGTATATATGTGTCTTAATATTTTTAGTAATTTTGCTTACTCTAGGATGAAAAGAAGTTATTTATATCTGAGTGCATTTGTCTGTGGACCAATCAGTTTTAAATATAATTTGATAAGGCAAAATTTAAATTGTGAAAATATATGCCAGAAAAAAATCAATTCTCTGTTGTGGCTCCTTAAATGTTAGAAATATATCCTGTTCCATAAAGTACATTATCTTTATTTGCTTCTCTTGTACTTTGGCCTTTCTGCTCTATTGCTCGTCATACTTGAAATATCCTGTCTCCAGCCAAGTCATAAAACGATAGAATCCTGGAGTCCTATTTTGGTCTAATCTGATTTAGACCGAGGATTTGGAGGAACAGATCTTTAAATGCTGTGCTGTCAAATAAAACAAAGCATGTCTCTTTTAAAAATATAATAGTTTAATCCAGTCTTGGCTGTCTGTTTTCTCTTTGAAAATGAACTTAAATTTAAAATATTTTATTTTATATTATTTATATTAAAAGATCCTTCAACTGCATTCTAGAGTGACTTAATACTTTCTTCTGCACATCTGTGTTAAGCAGAATGCAGTTACATCTAGCCTGTCATCAAAAGGGATGGAAAGTTACCATTTTAATATGAATGTAATTAGCATTTTGAAATTACTGTACAGTCTGAAATGTAGTTATGCTTAAAACTGACACCTTTTTGAACTTAAAATACCGTAATATGTACAGGTTCCTTTTAGGAAAAATGTATATAAATGCTTATAATTTAAGCAGGTTCTTTTTTCAAATTGGTGCAAAAATAGACAAAATAAACTTAAGTTTGTAAAAATAAGAAAGTGAACAAAATTAATCTTAATATCCCCCCCCCCCAAGAACAGTTTCTTCTCCTGTTCCTCTAATTCTGTTCTACTGCATAATGTAAACCTTCTGGTAAAGACTTTATCAACTATTTATTTTTGTATCTTCTGTCTTTTTTTTTTTTGCACTAAATTACCAGAGGAATGAATAGAACTAGGAACACTAATAATGAGCTATTGGTCTTGCTTTCATAACCCATTGGCAATCAAATTAACATTAATGAACTTATAAAAGTAATAATTTCCCTGGAATACCTCCTACATTTTGTTTATTAACCACATTTTTGTACTATCCTAGTCAACCAACTCTGGGTGTTGTATTAAGTCACCAATAAAGACCACCAACATAGACTAATAACATTACTCTCACCCTCTTTAAAATACTAAACATACTGGTCAAAAAACAGTTGCCCATTGTTCATCATTAGAAGTCAACAGTCTGCTGAAAAGTATATTTTAATGCTTTCCAAAATTACAGAAGAAGAGGGCAGATACATCTTGGAGATCATTCATATATAGGCAGCAGCACAGCAATCAAGTAGTATACTTCATTATGCGGGTGTCACCACAGAGAAAGCCTACCTTCCAGCCCATATCTCTTTTACTTCTAATAGGAGAGGGATCTTGAGAAAATCCACTTAAAATGTCTAGTCAACACAAACAGAATCAAGCTGAGTAAGATTACCCCTTGGATCCAGAAGCCCAGTGAAAGGCCTTGAGATAGGTGTAATTCTGCAGTCTCAGATTTTGTAATTGCAGAATAAGGGGAAGAGATGCTGTATAGGAAACAATCAGATGAGAGAGACAGCAGCCCCCAGTGATTTAACAATCATAGAAAGAAACTTAGGAAGCACCGGCTCTAATAGATCAAGTTTTAAAAGTGATGGCAGGAAGTTTGTAGTTTCAGACTCGCAAGATTTATGGCAGGAAACATGACTAGATGAGCTGATTCTACTTTATTGTAAGGCTACTTTAACAGAATCTTGCAAATCTGAAAGTAGAAACTTCCCTTACCATTTTTAATTGCTTGATTCATTAGGGAGGGTCCTTCCTAAATTTCGTTCTCTGACTGTTAAACCGCTGGGGGCTCCTGTGACTCTTGTCCAATTGTTTCCAAGAGAACATGTGTTCCCCTCTTACCCCAAGGGCATCCATACATTTCAGGTTTCCCATGCTTGCAGTCTGATTGAATAGTCTGCCAATGACACCCCAGCCATAGACCATGTTGCAATGGTCTGGGCATAAATTACCATCACCAAGACATTCTGATGTAAGTAAGGCTGTAACTACCGTGCTATCCAGAACTAAACAGAGGTCCAGCAACCATTATTTTCTGCTGCCATTCAGCCAGGAGATATGAGTCCCAAGTCAGCTACCTGTTCTCTAGATGAGCCTGGGTTGGCAATGTATAATTGAGTATCATCAGTTACCTCTCCCGGTAGCCTCATATAGATGTTGAATAATAATGAAGAAAACACCAAGCCCTGGAATATTCGACCTTGGAGCAACCACAGATGCTATAAGTGCTCTCCCAGTATGCCAGCTGACCAAGGTAGACCAAATTTATAACCAAAGACATGCCAAATAATACCACTTTTTATTATAAAGCTACAGTAACAGTATCTTGCAAGTCTAAATGTGCTTCACCCCTCCTTCCCTTTATTTTCATGAGAACTAGCGGGGGGGAATCATGTCTGAGACGCTTTTTCAAATTACATTTCTGCCCAGGATTCAGATTTCTTTTATTTGACTATTGTCTTGGTTGCAACTCTTCCTCCTGTTCCTCAAAGTTATTCCTTCCTCCCATTACACATTATAATAGCCAGCCATTCAGATAGGAGCAAAATACTGTAGAGCCACCTCATAACGGCCGCGCGGGCGGTGTTGGGAGGGACTCGTCGCTCCCATATAACACCGCTTTTGCGTGAGCTGCACTGGCTGCCGGTGGCCTTCCGGGTGCGCTTCAAGGTGTTGGTTACCACGTTTAAAGCGCTCCATGGCATCGGACCTGGGTATCTTCGAGACCGTCTTCTGCCGCAGATTGCCTCCCATCGACCGGTACGCTCNTTTCCATCAAGCGGGATTGGCCTAGGGGGGGATTTTATAGGGATTTTAAAGGGATTTTATAATATCAAATTTAATACAGGTTATTTAATATATATTTTAATTTGGCTTTTAGAGATATTTATTGTATTGTACTGTTTTTATTTACCTGTAAGCCGCCCTGAGTCCCTCGGGAGAAGGGCGGGGTATAAATGGAATAAAAAATAACAGTGACCCTAATCCGTGCAAGTGGTTGGAGGGATACCATGATCAATAATATTGAACCCTGTTAATCGGACCAGGAGGGGCACACCCTTTCCATCTAGGTCCTGACAGAAGTTTAATGTTGTTTCAATCATTTGTCCAGACCTGAAACCTGACTAATAATATCCACATAGTCCACTTCTATGAATAGCAGTTTCACCAATATGGCTGATTCTTCAAGACAGTGTCCACCACCACCTTTTTCAAGAAAGGTGGGGGCAACACACTCTTCCTCAAAGAGATAGAAACCATTTTTTGAACCCAGCCATGCACATGTAAACTCTTGTCAATTTTCAAACATTTTTAGTTCCAGAAAATAATTTTGTACATATCTTATATAAATGAGCTTTCTTCTGATGTGATTATAGGCTCACATGATTGATTGAACATCCAGCTTCACAAAATTATAAAACAGAGTTAGAATAGATTAGTGATATTGGATGGGAGACATTCCTCCCCCCCCCCAAAAAAAAAGTCCAGATCTGTAAACTGGGAAGTCAAAGAAACATCCTGCAAACAGCAATAGCAAACAACATCTGGATTGTTGCCAAGAAAACTACCCAGTCCAGTCTGTGAAGTTGGTAGGAGTCACACTTGATTTGAAGGAGACTTTTTATGTAATACAAAATATATGCCACTGATAATAAAACAGGCAGCTTTGAAAATTCCATAAAAGAGTGTCAGGATTTGCACAAAGGCAAAGAAAGTTATGCAGTGCTGCTGTTCTTGCCAAGATAAAATAAAAAAGCCATATTAGATTGATGGAAATTCATTTGAACATTTTGTTTAGTTGGACAGAATGGTTGAAGAGATGCTATTGTCAATAAGCACTGTGAACAGAGAGCCAAATTTAACATCTTCCTCTGGCTCCAAATAATTTACCCAGCAGAAAAGATTTTTGTATGTTCAAATATATCGTCACTATTTATTCAAACCTGATATTAGGAGCTTTTCAGAAAAAACACAGAAGGGTGTTGTGAGAAAGTCACTGTCTCTAATGAGCTGCTAATATCTGTGTGAAGAATTTAAGAATTGGAGCAGAAATTAAGGACAAAGCATAAGAAAAAGGTACAAACTGTTCCAGTTTTGTCTATATAAGGCAGTCAGGTACACAAGACATAGAGCTGATGCAGAAGTATATTGATGGTTCAGTACTGTACATATAATATCTATTCAACAGCAAGTGCAATTAAGTTCTGTGGAGTCTTATTACCAGACCAGCGGTGTAGGCTTGCAGTTCAAACTAAATATTTAAATTCTGTGTATTCCTGATTCTGTTGGAAGTTTTTCCATGCATGAAATTGTAGATTTCATATAACTATCCCTGCAACCATCTGCAATGTACAGGATTCAAGGTTCCCTCTCCTTTTATATAAACCAGCAACTACAGTCATTATATAATTTACTTCAGAAGAATGATCCCACTGGCTTTAATGAATCTCCTTTGGAAATAAATAGTTCACAGAAATGTGCTTTAAATAGCATTATAGGAACTCAGATTGAGATGAAATTCTTAAAATTGCTGGTTTTCCATTCACAATCTTCCTTTTTCCGTTGTAGGTGGACGCATATGTTCCTTTTCCCCTTGCATCGAGCAAGTTCAAAGGACCTGCTTAGCTTTGGAGGAACACGGCTTTACTGAAATCACTACTTCAGAGATCCTGCTCAGAGTGTACAATGTTCGAACAATTAGCTTGCAAATCCCTGATCTTGGAAAAACAGCAGATGGTAATTCCAGCACTGGGGTTGATGGAGGCAACCTATCAAATGAAGATGCCTTGTGTCCAAATCTTCCACAGGAAACTGTACAATTTAAGAGCGGTGTGCCACTTAAGGAAATGGTGGGTCACACTGGTTATTTGACCTTTGCTACTAAAAACCTATTTTAAATACAGGCTTGAGAGTGTTTCTGCTATGCACCCTCTGAATGTAACTTTCCCAGCTCTTTGCTTCCAGAGCAGTTCCATATATAGTCAGATTGATATTTTGTTTAAATAGCTAGGCAGGAGCACTAACCAGATCAGCCTTGGCAACGTGCTGTTGTTCTGAAACAATACTTGCCTAGTTGTCAGGTATAGATGATGTACTAATAGCTGATAGGTGCGTCTTGGAATTTACAAAGTAAAAGTCACAGGTGTGTGTGTGTGTGTGTGTGTGTGTGTGTTGCTTTTTGACATTTTTCTCCCTCGAAGAGGGTTAGCCATAAAGATTTTTTTTTTTCATGCCTGAATATTTGCTTTAGAAATATATTATTTTTTAAAAAAAGAAGAAGAATATGAAACAAGTCTAGTGTGGCTTTCAATTAAGGCTATTAAAAACCACATCATATGAAGTAAACATGTTTTTTATTCATACCCAAAAAGAGCTTCAGAGTGCAGAAAGGCATGTACCAAACTCTTGTCAGCAATTCCTTAAACGGAATGCATCTTTTTCTTGGAATGTACAACTGTCTTCTGCTTTGGAGCTCAACCCTCTGATAGGGCAAAACTGCTTTCAGTTAATTGTGTTGCAGCCCCTGCACTCCAAAGTACCTGTTGATTTTTGAATCCAGTGTGGTATATGAAGGTGTTCGCTTCGTCCCTCACTAGTAAAAAATAGGAACTTTGAATAAAGCATGGATTCTATAGAGCAGGGGTGTCAAACTTGCAATGTCACGTGACATGTCGCGACGTATCACGACTTTTTTGCCATTGCCGGCAATGGGGGTGGGCGTGTTTTTGCTATGGTGCATCCGGCCCGTGGGCCGGCAGTTTGACACCCCTGCTATAGAGTCTTTTTTTATAGAAATATGCTGAAATTGCTTAAAGGTACAATTTATCAGACAATAGGTATTACATGTAATTCCAATGAATGGGGACATTCCCTAGATACAGAGTGTAACTTTACATCTGCATTTGCACACACAGCTTATATGTACAATCAGTTTGCTCATTTACTTCACTGGGTGGATATCACTGAGCACACTATTTAGCATTTGTAGATCTGTGTCCTTTCACTGGAATGAATGGAAAAGCCTTTCAGAATGAAGCAACACTGTGGCTCAATCCATCCATGGTTTGTCTATTTTTGATTTAACACATTACCTGAGCCTATCCAAGCCATTATGACTTGTTCAAGAGGCTATATTCTGGGCTTGTCACAGCTCTGTGAATGCAGAGAGTGTACAGGTAATCCTCAACTTACAACAGTTCATTTAGTGACTGTTCAAAGTTACAACGGCACTGAAAAAAAGTGACTTATGATAATTTTTCACACCTATGACCGTTGCACCATCCCTACAGTCATGTGATTTACATTTGGATACTTAACAACTGGTTCATCAGGTAATCCTCAACTTAAAACAGTTCATTTAGTGACTGTTCAAAGTTACAACGGCACTGAAAAAAGTGACTTATGATAATTTTTCACACCTATGACCGTTGCACCATCCCTACAGTCATGTGATTTACATTTGGATACTTAACAACTGGTTCATATTTATGACGGGAGTAGTGTCCTGAGGTCCTGGCAAGCAAAGCCAATGGGGAAGCCAGATTCACTTAACAACCCTGTTACTCATTTAACAACTGCAGTGATTCAGTTAACAATTGTGGCAAGAAAAGTCATAAAGTGGAGCAAAACTCACTTAACAAATTTCTCACTTAGCAACATAACTTTGGGGCTCAATTGTGGTCGTAAGTCGAGGACTACCTGTATAGAGTGCTATCATGCCAAAGTCGTGCGGAAAAATCCTGTGGAGTGCTTTTTTGTTGTTATTGTCATTCTCAAGCTATACAATCTGGAAGAAGTCAGTATACTATAAATCATTGGGCCACGTCTTGGAATAAGTCACTTAAGGCTTATCTTCAGACATGCTTTCCATAAGAGAAAGTTTTCTCGAATCAGTGGAATTCAACACATTTGCTGCAGAGAAGGTGGTCAGAGGGTCCTCTGTCATTAGAAAGCACGGGTGTAGGGTTTCATTGGTGGAACTTGGTTGCAACTTTCTGCCTGCAACAGTTATTCAGGAGCATTTGAACCTCTTCGTCTACTCATTGTATGAATAAATTCTAAGCACAAATACAGATGTGTATAGTCATAAATAAATGGCTATTTTTGCAATAGTCTCATCTCTTACTCTCCATCATCAAATGCTCTCTTTGTTTGATCACTCTTACATGTAAGATTAAATTTTACTTATCACCACAAACGTTTTAAGGTTAAATTATCCTTGGTGCCTTCTTGCATTGAAGAGTTTTATCTTTGCAGATAGTTGATAAAAGGAACTGTACAAGGATATATCTGCTCCAGGTACAGGCTGTTTAATATATCTGCCTGAAATATGAAATTGATTTTGCCCTTTTCTTGACAAGGAAAAAAACGTAATGAATCCTTGAACAGGTACATTACAGCTCTGGTGCTAATCCGTAACAGTTTAACCACTGACGGTAGCAAAGATAAGACTTAAAGGACGGCTGAGCAGATTAAAAATCAGGAAAGCAAATCGTCTAAAAAGAGGCTGTTACATAATTGGCCTTAGGACTGCTTTTCCCCTCAGAAGAGGTGAAAATCTTTATGGCACACACTAACAAAATACTTTTGTGGGAAAGTAGGACAAAAGCTCTTGCATCATTAATGGATCCAGAAATCCATTAATGGGGTAGCACAAGGGTTTCCCAGCAAAGGAAGAGAACGTTCACATTTGTTTAATCCAGCTGAATTAGAAGTGGAAGGAAGACCCCACTCAACCTGCTACACCTCCTTGACTAATGCTACATGTTCTTTCTTGGAATGCCTTGTACTTGAGGCTGCTGTCTGATCACTGGTGTGGCATCCATTGTAGAAGTGAAGTATAAGGATCTCAAATGTATTGTCTTTTAGCACTTAATACAATTTTCTACTGTAAGTATTTTATTTGGAAAAAAAAATAACTAAGGACACATAGGACAGTGGAGGTATGAATGGAGCATACTCCATAGTTCATGATTTGCTCCCATGGCTGCTTTGTTTTCGTTTAGAACTCTTTAGCTAACTTTCCAAAGTCAAAGTACCTTTCTGTAAATGGAAAGTTTGCTATATATTCCAGCTCTCGAGCCCATTTCAAAATTAGAGAAAGTCTCATGAGCAGCATGACAACTTGATTGACATGGGGTGACGAAGAAAAGTCTCCATTGAATTGAGTTTAGCTCCAAGGAACTATATTTTGGCAGCAAGACAAGTTATTTGTGTTTGCTATGTTCTGAAATTCTTTTACTTCCTAAGTCTAGGAAGTAAACTTGGATTTCAGGTTGTTCCCCATCCAAGTATTAACCAAATGAACTCTTCCTAGCTTCCAAGATCAGGCAAGGTTCACTTAAGTTCTGCCAAGTTACACATTGTAAATAACTGCGAAATATCTTTTTTCAAGCTAAAAAGAGGTGTGCATCAAAAAACAAAACAAAAAAACAGGCAACATCCATTCCTAAACACACAAAAATGGGGGGAGGGGAATTGAACACAATAAATTAGGAAATATGACACAACCGTCCAAGACACAGTGCAGAAGCATCTATTCACATTATGTCCTAATTTTCATATAAGAGTAACATAAATGCCTTTCTTAGGTGATCTTCCATCCTGGTCACCTGCTTGGTTTCCTGTGAGAAGTTTTATTACATAGTTTTAGGTCATTCATTCAACTGGAACACAAACTGGTTGTATCCACCTGCTGTGGTTTACCCAAATCTTTATGTAATGTTTGAAAAATCCAGGAAAATGGATAAAATAAGAAAAGTGGGTAAGATAATCCAGGAGAATGGAATAGAAAAGTTGGAGGAAAGCAACATTCTTTTATCTTCAAAAAGAGAAGAATTTTTTTTTAGGGAACTACAGACCAATCATTCTGACTCTGACACCTGGGAAGATTCTAGTGCAGGGGTAGGCAACCTTGGCTCTTTTATGACTCGTGGACTTCAACTCCCAGAATTCCTGAGCCTGGCTCAGGAATTCTGGGAGTTGAAGTCCACGAGTCATAAAAGAGCCAAGGTTGCCTACCCCTGTTCTAGTGCATTTCATAAAGAGATCAATTTGTAAGCAACAGACATCACTATGAATTTGTGAAGTTTTAATGAATCTTATCTCTTAATTAGATAACTATCTTAAAGCGTTACACTGCTGTAATTTAATATCTTGACTTCTGCAAAGTTTTTTTACAAAATGCTTCATACTATTTTGATTAGCAAACTAGTTAAATATCAGCTAGATGGCAAAAGGTGCTAAACAACTGTCCTGAAAGTCATAATCAAAGACTGGTCATCAATAGTTTAATATTAAACTGTATTATTTAATCAAAAGGTAATGAAATGTCTGCAAGAATACAATCAAGCCCCGAAACCCGTAAGAACCAAACAGTTCAACTCTTTTATTGAACATATACTTTCCAAATCACAGAAAGCAATTATTTGATTTTACTTTGCATTGACCAGATCCTTGAGTACCATATCCAGGTCCAGATACCACATTTTAAGAACAAATCAGACAAAGTGGAATATACTCAGAAAAGCAAGGGGGACAATCAAGGGACTGGAAAGTACGTACATTCTATGAAGGGAGTTTTTAAAAACTGGGAATGTTTAACCTTGAGAGGGAAAGACTGAGGGGGGTATCTGATGACCTTGCCTTGCCTCTGATACCTGAAAAGATGTCACATAGAACAAGGTCAAGACTTAATCTCTAACATTCCAGAGTGCAGGGCCTGTTACAGTGGATTTAAGTTACAGGAAGGCAGACTCCATTGAATGTGGAGGGCAGGGGGAAATTTCCTAGCAACACAGTTTGACTGTGGAATCAATTATTCAGAGGAGGAGTCTCCCTTTCAGTGTATGTTTTCTTTTAGAGGTTAAAAAGCCATCTGTCACAGGCAAGTTTGAAGCTGAATTCTTGCACTGAACAAGGATAGGGCTCAGTGGCTTAAATGGCCCCTTAGCAAGTTTATGGTTTTGTGTCAGATGCAAGAAATGGAACTCCCAATCACTGAATTAGTAAAAGGCAAAGTTAAAAGGTTTCAAGGAGCAATGCAGTGAGAGTTAATTTATTGCAATACAGATGTTGAAATTGAAAGAATTTACGGTCAAGAAGCATAAGCTAAATTCTGCCTTAAACATGTGTCCCTATTTACCTCTCATA